CTAGTAGTGCGGGTAGGCGCGCTACTAATAAGGCGCTATAGCTATTGCTTAGCAGTAACACGTGCCCGCACACGCTACAGCTAGGACAAATAGCTGCAGCATTTGTTCACTCCCACGCCACTGCTAATGTAACTACTGGCAGCGTGTTTTCTCTCCATCGCTACTAGTATTCTTTTTTTTATTTTTTTTATTTTTAGTGTATTTATGCGCCATCGTACAAATATTGGTACAATACCAGTTATGAGGTTTACATCATTATGTCCATAACAGTGTGTCAAATGAAGGTGGATTAGGTTCAAGTGGAGGCAATATGTGGTGCATGTCAAAAGTATACTACTAATCCAAACTTGATCAGTTTGGACTATTAGTACTTTTGATGTGCACCACATGTTGCCTCCACTTGAATCTAATGCGCCAGCATAAGCTATTTAATCAACATCATAGTCATTACCACCAACAGTATTTTTTTAATCACCACTAACACTAGCTAATAATAATCATCATAGTCATTACCACCAACACTAGCTATTTTATCATCATAGTAATAGTGTAGCACATCATCATCCTCAAACTCATTTCTAGCTAGCTAATCACTCCTGATGCTCTCTCTTAGGTAAAATAATATAAAACATGTGTAGCTCTACTCCTTGATCAAGTTGGAGCATGCAGATGAACCTATCTCCTAATCGTGGGTAGCGCATTTGTTTGCTGCCCCCTAGTACTTCTCTGCGCTTCTCCATCACACATTTGGTCCAGTCTTGCACTATTAAGCATCCGTCGCTAATCTTGAATGCACTAAAGTAATCTGTAGGATATCTTGGCCGTAAGCTAATAATACTCATGGCATGTTTAGTCTCGATCCCATAAGACACAACATTCATTGGGAGTCCCTGTTGAAGAACATCGTATGGTAACATACTTAGCAATGAAGTTTAGCTTCAAAAATAATGTATGGAAAAGATGCACTGGGGACAAATAGTAAAAATCTTACCATCCTTCCTAAATAGATGTGACCATAGTTCATTACGAACACTATTGGTCGAACGTTTTCAGTACTAACATTTCTAAATGCAGGAAGAAAATTTGTCTTGACAGTATCAAGATCCTCAAGTCATGAAACATAATGACTTAGCTCCTCGTAGTTTAGTTCAGCCTCGGGGCAGTAGTAGGTCCTGTCTACCAAGCGTTGGACATGTTTGCTTGCACCGAAATAAGCTGACAATACAAATTAGTTGTCAACTATTTTTGAATAAACAATATCAAAGACATAAATATGGTTGAGAAACTTACATAATGGTATAACTGGAGGCGTCTGCACATCGACCCAAATGTTGGTATTACCTTCAATATCATCTTCCGGACGAATATAAAAGGTGATAACCATATCAGGCTCAAATGCATAAGTCTTGCATAGTGCTCGCCATGTTTTGCATCCAAAATAGGTGTAGTCGTCTGAATTGTATAATTTTCTATGGAAAATATAACCATGCTCGGTCTTCAAGTAAACTTTCTTTTCCTCCATAGTACGACCGAAACCTATCTTATCCAATACAAAAACTCTTGCATGGCAGGGGATACGCTAGTAGAATAGTAAACAAAAAGACTTGTCATGCTTAATGTCATGCTTAAATTATAAGTTAAAGCAAATGAAGCAAATGAAGACTTGTCGTTCTGATTTACTGTATCCACTTCGAAGTTCTTGTCCAGCTTGATGCTGAAGCACCTATCATCATCTAGGAAGATTCAGTCCCACAGGCCGCACTCGTCTTCGCAGTATTTACAAATACCGAAATCCTTTTCATCGTCAGACATTTCCTATGTTCATAGTTAAAACATTAATTGAAAATCGATCGAAGACAACTACCAGGATACTCAAGACACAAATCCGGGGCACTTGATATTTCCTACATCTTCTGGCACAAGTCATGCCAAAATTCACAGAAAAATCCGGCATGACCTTTGCTAAAATAGGACATATCGAGCGCCTGAAATTTGCCGGAACAGAAATGAATCAACACTCCGGCAAAACATAGGCCACTCGGAGGTGTAACCTGCAAACATGACCGGCCACTTGGGCAAGCACATATCCTATTTGAGCAACACAAGATATACATTTCAAAATATCTTATAGAACTCAAATTAGCATGCATTCAATACGCAAAAGTAAATCATCTCATGCATCCATACATCATCGAATATTATCACTAATACATCCCGAATAGTGTCATACATATAACATCACTAATACAACTAAAACCCTAGCACACGACGGGTATCGGCGCGGGCGGTGGACACCCATAGAGAAGGAACCATCACGGGATCATAGCTCTAGTGAGATCCCTGGAGAACCTGCCAGGTATTGGAGAACCTGTGCTCCAACGCAAACAAGTAGCGACGGACGTGCGCGCCCTCCTCACTGACACGGTGATGCACCACCTCCGCGGGGTCCTCGAGCCTCTGGACCGTCACTGGCCCAAGCGACCGCCACCAAAGAAGGTTCGGGTCAACGACAGGCTGGCTCCTCACCAACCTGCGCCCCCCGGTAGGTAGCGCCTCCCAGTACCACCCGGCGGAGCCCAGTCCCGGACATGGCCCATCTGGTCAAGCAGGTGTCGCCCTCCGCCGACTCGACGATGAGGATGCGGGATAGGCATCATCCACGTCGATGCGGGAAAAATTGCTTTAACTAAAAAATAGCAACAAGTTCTTATTAACTAGTTCTATCAATTCAACTAGTTCTTATTAAAAATAAACTTACTATAAATAAAAATAAACTAGTGCCTAATTAGTACCTAGTTCTTACTAACTAATTAGTACCTAGGAACTACTGCCCTAATTACCATCTAATTTATGAAGCTAGGAGTGGAAAGTGGTAGCGGATATTCCAATTATCCAACTATAAAGTGAAATAAGTGGTCAAATTTTACTCGTTTTATGATTCATCTTAGAAATTTGATTCATTTCCACCCTTACATGAACCCTAACTAATTTGATGCAACTAAAATATAAAGAAACCCTAGGCAGAGGTAGGGGAGAGGGAGGAGCAGGCGTGCTCACCTCGGGTGCCTGCGATGAGGGAGGGGAAGGCGGCGTCGACGTCGGGGTCGGGGCTCGGGCGCGCGGCGGATGGCGGCGTCGAGGTCGGGGTCCGGGGCGGCGTCCGGGGCGGCGTTGAGGTCGGGGGCGGGGGCGGCGTTCAATCTGGGGTCGGGATGGCGTAGAGGGTGTGCGGAGAGAGCGCGGCGGCTGACGGGCGACAGCGGCGGCGAGAGTGGAGAGCTGGATTTGGGGGAAGTGGCCGTGGGGAAGGACGAACCCCGTGGTTAAGTCAGAAGTAGCAAGAGCACGTTCCAGAAAGCGCGCTACTGCTACGTTAGCTACAGCGCGTTCTAGGATACACGCTACTACTACTCCTTTCTCTCTCTTTTCCCTTTTTCATTTAGTTTTCTTCACATTTTATTTTTTTCCTTTCACCTTATTCTATTTCTTTCATTTTCAATTACCTTTCTATGTGCTTTCCATTTAATTTTATATCCTTTAGCAGTAGCGAGTTTAGATTAAAACGCGTTGCTACAAAGAAAGTAGCGGTAGCGCGGTTCGATATAGGTCGCTACTACTATGTGTAGCCTATCGGCTAAGCCGTGGGAATTTTATTAGTAATGTGTTTAGAACAAGACGCGCTACTGCTAAAACTTTATCTACAGCGCGGTTTGCATAGGCGCGCTACTGCTACTTAGCACCAGCGTCCTTCTTTGACCCGCGCTACTGCTAAAGTTCTGTGTATAAGGTTTTCCCTAGTAATGCAATCAAACTTGTTGATTTGCTCGGGAGTGGTTGAGAAGGCCCCGATCTACACTTCCACTAAGAGAAATTTGATTCCCCCCACTAATCCCTTGCGGATCTTGTTACTCTTGGGTGTTTGAGCACCCTAGACGGTTGAGGTCACCACGGAGCCATAGTCCATTGTGGTGAAGTTTCATGGTGTCATTGGGAGCCTCCAATTAAGTTATGGAGATTGCCCCAACCTTGTTTGTAAAGGTTTGGTCGCCGCCTCCAAGGGCACCAATAGTAGAATCACGGCATCTCGCATTGTGTGAGGGCGTGAGGAGAATACGGTGGCCCTAGTGGCATCTTGGGGAGCATTGTGCCTCCACACCGCTCCAACGGAGACGTACTTCCCATCAAAGGGAAGGAACTTCGGTAACACATCCTCGTCTCCACTAGCTCCACTTTTGGTTATTTCGTGCCTTTACTTGTGTGAGCTTATTTGTGATATATCTCTTGCTTGCTTGTGTACTTATCATTGTTGCATCATATAGGTTGCTCACTTAGTTGCATATCTAAACAACCTAATTTGATGCAAAGTTTAAATTGTTAAAGAAAAGCTAAAAATTGTTAGTTGCCTATTCACCCCCCCCCCTCTAGTCAACTATATCGATCCTTTCACCAGTAGTGCTCATTGAGCCAACTACTGCTGTTGCTGCTGCCGCTACACTCAAGCTAGCAGCAGTAAAGGCAAAGAAGGATGGTAGGTCGAACAACATGAAGTGGCAGCCGTTCATGTCCATGTTCATGCTGAACAAGATGTGTGAGCTCATCTCTAGTGGAGTTAGGACTGACAAGGGCTTCAAGGATGTGCACTTGAACACCATTGCGAAGCAGGTGTTCGAGTTCTGTGGGCAAGAGGTGTCTGCCACCCAGGTGTACAACCACCTGAGGAAGTGGAGAAGTCGATGGATCCAAGTGTTCAAGCTGAGAGACGTTAGCAGCGCCTCATGGGATGAGAACACTTGATCCATAGTTCTGGAGGCAGAGCACTACGCCGGCCATGTCGCGGTTAGCTCACAGCCCTCTTCCTTTCCATACTATCCACCACTGCCTACTCCTAATCGCAACTAACAACACTTGTGTTTCATTCTTAGGACCACCCAAGGGACGCTGAGTTCCTCAACACACCCATCCAGAACTACAATCAGATGTAGCACATCTTCTCCTTCGGGATGGCAACTGGGAAGCATGCCATGGGCTCGGGGGAGCCTCTTGGTTCTCCCATGCCTGACTTCCCTGGGACCCCGGACGTCGAGATCCTTGATGGCCCTGACAAGCCTGTTGCGAAGCCCTTCGACAAGCCATTGGACCCCGTTGATAGGAAGAGGAAGAGAGGAGGCCTGATGGAGGAGGAGATCAATGTCTTCTGCAGCATGACTGAGGTGGTGAAGGAGGTGGCAACAGCCATCAGGGAGTGCAAGCCCCTCGACGTCCACCCTAACCTGTATGGCGCTTTCATGACCCAGGGTGGCTTCAGCAACGAGGCTCTCATGGCAGCTCTCAGCCACCTGCTTGACAACAAGGCCCAGGGTGTTGGGTTCGTTGCCATGGCCGACGCTCATAGGGTGTTGTGGCTCAGGAGCTGGCTGGGCAAGCACTACTACTAGAGTAGTGCTGCCTGTGAGCGTGCATGATCCCCGACGACAACGATGATGACGATGACGATGTACATTTTGTGTAGCTAGGGCTCAAAAACTATTTGATGGTCTGTATATCTTGGTGAGGTGGTATATACTAACCCCTCACGGTGATGGTGAACTTGCGGTGGTAGGACGACACCCTCTTTTGGATGTGGTGGTAGGTTAACACCAAGGTAGTGCTAGGAAGAACTTGCTATGCCGTATGATCATGCATGCTTTACTTCTTTTCTGCTCCATTGTTATTTGTGTGCAACTTTGCTTGCTACTTGTGCTCCATTGATTTGCTGCTTCAACTCTTGCTCTTGTGCATTGCTAGGGCAAGTGGTATGCCGTGTTCATTGGTGAGGTTCCAGGGGTTTATAGTTCATGGGAAGAAGCCAATGCACAACTGGCATCATATAGCAACAACAACAATAGAGGGTTCAAGACTAAGCAGGCAGCAGAACAAGCTTACTCCGCTTGGGTGCGAAAGCACGGAGGCAGCAGTGTCGACAGGGCCAATGTTAGAGCTGTCAAAGTGGAAGCTGCTAAGGTGGATCGTCAGTTCGGCCTGAAGCTGAAGAACTTCATCATCTTCGCCAGTTCGTCACCATTGTTGTGTTGTGGCGTTGGTGTGCTAGGTGTGATCATTATGGGTAAGCTCGCCAACTAGGGTACAAGGTAAGCACAACATGTACGCCGTATGCAACCAAACGCCGTGTTCATGTGCCGCCAGGGCCAATGCAGTCAACCAAACAAAGTGTACTTTTGTATTTCTAGATGCAGGGACTAGGGATGCAGGCAACCAATCAAGTTGCATATGGCGTATTAGGGCCTGTTTTTCCTCAATCAGGCTGGGTTGAGAAGGGCATGCAATGCGACTACTGTTCCAAACTGGAACCAAACACGCCCATAATGATTTCCTTGGCCGCATGCATGAAATTCATAGATTTTTTCATATGAGTTTTTCCTACCATAGTAACACACGATTGAAGATTAAAGTACTCACATGTGATGCTGGAATGCTAGTGGGAGTCACACTTCTGTGCACCACTGCAACTTCCATGCCCAATTTTTTTCTAGCTAGCTTCGCCTCTTCCTTTCTTGTGGTGCTGCTTGAGAAAAAGTGGAACATGCCATGTGTATATGTGTTTATAAGAATTGGAGGCTCATGTCACGGAAAATTCTTTACTCTATGAAATATCATGTCTATTCTATGGCTTATTGTTAAATGTATAACACGTGGATTATCTTATTTTTCCGATTAACCACTAAATAAATCATATATGTCATACATTTACCAATTTAATCTCAAAACAATACATATATGTGACCGAGAACTCTCTTGATTCGGGTTGCATCCAGAACTCACTGCATTGAAATACCCCTATACAAGTTGTGTCATAGTCTAAATAAAATCATCATATAGATATGTGCGTGTGTACCAATATCAATTCGAATTCAATAAAGAGAGAAAGTAAATAGTTAAATAAGACAAATTGAATGTTGATAGGGATGTTTGGCCATATTCAGAACCTAATTAAATAGCTACCATTCACCCACATATCTCTCTCATTAAACCATGGATCAAATTAGAATTTGAACTACCCAAATATTCCTATATTTATGTGGTGATTGTTCTAAAAGAAACCATAATTTTATTATCTCAACTATTGGGTGAGTGCAGGCTCCATGATGAACATCTTAAATAAGATACATTTGACCCCTCAACTCTTGACATTTTTTGAACTCTGTTCCTCAAAGTGGCTTTAATTGGCACAAAGGTAGTTTTATCTTATGTGGTGTGCACACATAAAAGTTTCCTTCAAATATATATATTTAATCTTATTTAACAAAATACTGAACTACCAAAAGGTAAAGCAAATGATAAAAAAATTAAAATAAATTAAAAATAGGAGGTTTAGTGGAAACCACATTTAAGAATTTTATCAAATTTGTATGTTCTTTTATACTAGTTCTCATGATTTCAAGAACATATAGTTTCTCTTTAATATTGAAAATCATTTTAAAACTTAACATCTGTGTGATGTGTGATATGGCTAACAAAAAGGTGCTACATCGGTCAAAAATAAATAAATAAATAAATAGTGAAACTCACTAGAGGAAACAAACATACATAGTATTAAGAGTTGGTGGATACAATTATCCGCTTTAATAGTTGGATGAACAAATCGAGAACCATAAAATATTTATATTAACAAAACCTTTGGTTTACCATTTATGTTCTAAAAAGATCAGGGATTTCAAAAGGTTCTCTAGAGGGTTTGATGTACAAACTAGGTGCACGAAAAGACATGATATGAGAGCATAAAATGTGATATCCATCTGTCTATATACATTAATTTGGTTATATTTATTTCAAAAACATAATGCACAATAAAAATCATATCGAGGTATTTAGTGGCATAAGAAAATCATAATTGTACTTACTCCGTACCATAATACCGTGTGATTTGGTTTTCTCAAAAAGTCAACTTTCATAAAGTTTGACCAATATATACAATACTAAATATATACCATATGAAATATATTTCATGATCTAATGGTGATGGTTTGGTATTGTAGACGTTGACAATTTTTTGTACCAACTTAGGTCAAACTTTACAAAGTTAGATTTTGCCAAAATCCGATATGCAATATATTCCGGAACAAATGGAGTAATTATTGTGCTTTTCCAGTCCTCGGTTTGAACTTGCATCAAATTCTTATGTTTCAAAATCCTACATACCAAAGAGGCCTTTAATAAGTTTGCTTTCTTATGATATTCAATTTAGCATTGTCACTAGAATATCAAAAACACTATTTTCCCAACAATTTCAAAAGAATAAAGACGTTGCCCTTGCATTTGCAAGGGCCACCGTGATAGTTACGCAGGAAAAGAACAATTTATATTTGAAATAAACAATAGGGATGTGTCCCACAACACATCAATATTACACAAGAAAGCATTCAATTACCTATGGAAAAAAATAGTCAATAGGGTTGTGTCCCACAACACATCAACATTAAACAGGAAAAAACATACATCCATGAGGACACAATATCCTCGACTTACAATGTTATAGAAAGAATGTAATGCAATGCAAGTTTTGAATAATCTAAACACCAAATAGTACTGGTCGATTCTTACAAACAAACAAATGCACTCGTGGGAACACAACTTAGAACTGTGCTTGGATCCAATCCACCGTGCTCTTCTCCACCTGGAAGGCCTTGGTAGTAATACCAGCCGGGATGGAAGGCTCGGCTCCAAACACCGCGTTGGCTAACGTGATCACTCCAGGGTTCTGGCTGCTCAGTGCCGCAATAGCTACTGCACCGGTAGTCCTGTTGTTGTACTGGTAATGGACGAGGCCCTTAGGAAACACAAACACATCTCCCTTGTTGAGAACCTTCTCAAAGTGTTTGTTCTCGGGGTTCGACGTCACGAAACCAACATGCAGGCAACCCTCTAGCACAGTCAGGATCTCGGTGGAACGTGGGTGAGTGTGGGGAGGGTTGAGGCCAAACGGCGCGTAGTCGATGCGGACGAGGGAGACGCCCATGGTGTTCAGCCCGCCGATCTGTGCGACGTTGACGGCGGTCACCGCGGAGCCCTCTTGTTGGTCGTGTTGCCGGCCACATGGAGGCCGGAGAAGTAGAAGTCCTCAACGACGACCTCTTTTGCGGCCTTGCAAGCCAGTCCGTTGACACGTACTGCATGGGTCAATTCATTCGTATATAACATAACCGATATGAGTGATTTCTTAACTACGATTGATAGAGTATATATGCAGTGTGCATGTGGTACCTGGAGACGTCTTGTCGGCGACGCAGAAGTCCTGAAGATGGCTGGGGTCGGAGGCCGTGGCGCCATGCGAGCATGCAAGGGCCAGGAGAGCTCCTGCAAGGAGCAACACTCGAATGGCCATGTCTCTTTGTTTTCTCCTCGCTAGAGTAAAGTAGCAAGCAGTCGAGCTTTGGAATCGGTTGCTATGCTGCTTGAGTTGTGTGATCTCTATGCAATGAAGGAGGCTATATATAGGGAGATCCTGCCGTACGTATATGTATCCCATTTCCCATGTTTAGATACACATGGTTGGGTCTAGGAACAAGTCTTTGTGAATTGTGATGTGTGCAGCCTGCAGAGCGCGTGTATATATCTGGACAGCCTGCTACGCATACTTATGTATGTGGGACGGCAGGATCAAATTAATATATAGCGTACATGATTACATCAGATCAATCTATGCTTGAACGAGTCGCCTGTACATATCAACATCGATTGACCAAGAATCCAGCAGAGGTGCTGCTCGATCTCCCACCATTTCTCGACCAGGGATGGACGCCCGCTGGCGCGTGACGTACGCCGCGGACCTGGTGGCCGCGCGACGGATCTCGCTGGCCGACGGCGTGGTCTGGCTCCGAGGCGAGGCGCTCAGGATCGTGCTGCTCGATGAACATGGGTGTACGATGGACGTGCGCTTCCTTCGCGAGGGTGAACTGATCGAGGTCGGGGGTATTCTCTCCTTCCCGTGTCACTTTGCTAGGGTTCATGACAGGTTGCCGGCGACGACGGCGATGGCCGGACCCAGCGCGCCACCATGCGGTGCAGCGGGCGCGGGGCACGTGGGTGCGGCCACGTCGGCTGCGGTACACGAGAGGGCCGGGCACGCGAAGCCGGCTCACCGGTTTTTCCCTGCCTCGACCGCTGGACCGGGAATCCTTGGGCGTGGACCGGCTCGCCATGGGGCTGATGGTCGACACGTGGTAGACGAGAGATCCGACCGCCATGGTTCGGGCGACCCTAGGGTTTGCGAGAGCAAGGCAGGTATAAAAGGCACGGCCGCTCCCACTTCGCCCATTTTAGATCTCGACGAGTGCTTCTCCCACTTCTGGGACGCGCCTCCTCCGGTCAGATCTAGGGTTCGTCAGTCTTATGGTTGGTGGGAAGGAAAAATCCATGGTGATGCTCGTTCTTTTGCTCA